GTGAAATTTCCTCGCTCCTAAATATTCCACAGTCAACTGTCAGCTGTATTATAAGAAAATGGAAGTGTTTGGGAACGACAGCAACTCAGCCACGAAGTGGTAGGCCACGTAAACTGACGGAGCGGGGTCAGCGGATGCTGACGCGCATAGTGCGAAGAGGTCGCCAACTTTCTGCAGAGTCAATCACTACAGACCTCCAAACTTCATGTGGCCTTCAGATTAGCTCAAGAACAGTGCGCAGAGAGCTTCATGGAATGGGTTTCCATGGTCGAGCAGCTGCATCCAAGCCATACATCACCAAGTGCAATGCAAAGCGTCGGATGCGGTGGTGTAAAGCACGCCGCCACTGGACTCTAGAGCAGTGGAGACGCGTTCTCTGGAGTGACGAATCGCGCTTCTCCATCTGGCAATCTGATGGACGGGTCTGGGTTTGGCGGTTGCCAGGAGAACGGTACTTGTCTGACTGCATTGTGCCAAGTGTAAAGTTTGTTGGAGGGGGGATTATGGTGTGGGGTTGTTTTTCAGGAGCTGGGCTTGGCCCCTTAGTTCCAGTGAAAGGAACTCTGAATGCTTCAGCATCCCAAGACATTTTGGACAATTCCATGCTCCCAACTTTGTGGGAACAGTTTGGAGCTGGCCCCTTCCTCTTCCAACATGACTGTGCACCAGTGCACAAAGCAAGGTCCATAAAGACATGGATGACAGAGTCTGGTGTGGATGAACTTGACTGGCCTGCACAGAGTCCTGACCTCAACCCGATAGAACACCTTTGGGATGAATTAGAGCGGAGACTGAGAGCCAGGCCTTCTCGTCCAACATCAGTGTGCAACCTCACAAATGCGCTTCTGGAAGAATGGTCAAAAATTCCCATAAACACACTCCTAAACCTTGTGGACAGCCTTCCCAGAAGAGTTGAAGCTGTTCTAGCTGCAAAGGGTGGACCGACGTCATATTGAACCCTATGGATTAGGAACGGGATGTCACTTAAGCTCATATGTGAGTCAAGGCAGGTGAGCAAATACTTTTGGCAATATAGTGTATATCTGGTCTATCCAACATATTTGCTGTCCAAGGTCGCTGTCAATAAATAATTAAAGCTAAAATGTGGGAGAGGAAGCTAAACTGCAGGATTCTTTACAAAGTCAGAACATTAAGGACTAAACTAAGCTTCCTTTTCATCAGACTGTTATACATAAACAGTTTGTCCTCAGTCAGAAGTTTCTTATTCAAATAAAAATTTGATTAAATCAGTATTTGAATTTAAACAAGGTCTAATTAAAACCATTTTTTTTTTATTAAAACAATCTTGTCCACTATTTATCTTAGCTTACATCTAACGTATGGGGAGTTGTTATGTGGGAATAGAATCTGAATCTCTACTAAGTATTCCTAATCTAACCTGGTTTATTGGTTTCATTTACATAACATTATACAATATTGGCCATTATATTAACTCCATATTTCTGTTTTAGATGGCTGGAAATGTTAACATCATGCTTTTGACCCTCTCTGTCTATTTTCATCTCAAATATCTTTTCACAAAACAATTTGATTCTTATTGTTAACAGAACAGCAGATATTTGAATAAAAAAAGTAGAGATTGTCTTTAACAAACTGATTTTTAAATTTGATAAAAACCTAATTATGATACCGTAGATATTTTATTTGCTTTGTAAATGAAGTTATCAGACCTACTTTGTTATCTCTATTTCATATAAACATATCGATAATCTAATCTAATCACTCGGCACATGCAATCAAATTACGTAGCCAGGTTTAAAAAAAAAAGAATCCTCCAAATATAAGGCTAATTACTGAAGGAATACATACACTTTAAAGTACTCAAGATAAAATGCAAACTTAAATGAAAAGAATCACAGATGGAGCCGAAACAATTAACAACTTTTTCTGAATGAAGTTGCATAAAAAAATGTACTTTTCTTTTTCTATGATGATATAGCAAACTTCAGCTCATTTTGCCTTATGGACAAATGTTTAGTTACACTGGTTTCACAGCTTGTTGAAGAAGATACAGAATTAGAACCATTATTTATCCTGAACTTGCCGCTATTGCACTTCTGGTTAGACCTAAACTGCATTTCGTTGCCTTGTACCTGTACCTGTGCAATGACAATAAAGTTGAATCTAATCTAATCTAAAAAGTTAAAAAAAGGAAACATGATCTGTTCTGTAATTTTTTAAATATAATTCAACTTGATTACAAAAGCGACTCAGAAGAACTAAAAATTAGAAGTTTGAGATTTTTGAAATTAGGATAAAGACTAGAGACTTTCCTCAGACCATGTCTTCTTCACACTACATGGTTCAAATATGATTGCTCAATATCAGTGAATCCCAGCCGGGGGTATATGTATTCCTAGTGGTCTGCAAGTGCATTGCAAAGGGTACAGAAACATTTTGTTTCTTAGGTACTAAAATATAATAGGGGTGGGATCTGTTTTGCTTTGTAAGAATCAATTAAACAATCTTTTATCAACCAAAAAATGTGTTTTTCTTAGATGCTTGAGTTCACCTTCAGCTTTGTCACACATCCAAACCAAGCGGAGGGCTCCTGTTTTATAAATACAGGTTTTTTGAGATTTTAGGTTGTATTTATTTTGATTCTTTACTAGCATCAGGGCCGCTTACTGTACTTATTTTGTGTTTTTATTTGAAATGGAAAGAATAAAATTCCTAACAATTAAATGTTCAAATTGAAATGGTAAATGGTAAAATATACTATCTGCTATTACCATTTAACAAATTAAAAGATTAAGTAAAATCGTTTTTATTTTATAATCAATTATTGTATATTCCACTTGTGAATAATTATCAATTCTTTTGACTGAACGGGTTACTTAAAAAAGGTTGGAAAACACTGATCTATGGGACTATTTTTACAGGGGCAATATAATGCCAAACCTTTAAACATTTCCAAAACTCCATAGAGACAGAAAACTATGTGAACTATTCTTTTTTAACAATTTTGACCTTTTTCAAGGGAGATCATTTTAGATAACCAACCACAGACACACAGACACACTTTTTCCTCTTAGAAAGAAAAGAAAATAGTTTCTATTAAGGCTTTAAAGTACCACAAATAAAGTTCACAGGTAATATATTGCTTGTGATTTTTGAATTTTAAAGTGTATCTTTGTTATTGATTTTATGATTTTCTGTTCCTCAATACCTATTAGAAATTGTTCTATTGATGCTACATTGTTGTGAAATTTTTTTGGGGTCCAAAGTCTGTGTTAAAAAAATCTAAATGGTCTCAGAGGTCAGGACCGGTAAATATGTTATCTTTGTTGGAATTGACTGGAGTCTCTGACAGATATGTTGTCTGATCCAGCTGCAGCTGGGAGGAAACTGTTACTGGGTCAAATTTTGGAGGGGATTTTATGAGGTCAGCAACCTAAAGAAAAAACAAAAACCACTAAAAGCAAATAATTTAAACCACGTTAAAAACATTAGCCTCTTTCTAAAGATTTAATGCAATATTTCTTTTTGTTTAAAAACAAGTTTTATTTTTGCTTTATATTTTCAGATGATAAAATATCTTATTTTTTACATAAAGGCTATAAATACATTTTTCTTAGTACCGTAGGTCAATTTTTATAGAAAAAAAAAGTAGTTTTCAACCTAAGGTAAAAAAGTAAGCATTTTTTTTTACCTTTGTATTTTAAAACATTGTTTAGTTCTTTGCATTTTAAGGTTAATAAGATCAATATAAGGTTGTGGAGTCGCAGATCAGTTTTAGGATAATCTTATGCAAACATTTCCTCTTCCAAAAGACAATGTCTGCATCAAGAAGAGAAGTTGTTTGAAGACACGATTCTACCAGATACTTCAAATGAACACACATGCCGGCACACTGGTGAGTTTCTGTTCCCAGTGAGTGGACACAGTGAGTCTATGTTAAATCAGGTTGGGGGGTTGAGTTTTCCTTGTCTCCCTCCAGGTGCCAGGCTGCCTCCCTGCCCTTCGCATTCCCCAGTTTCAGTCACATGAGCAGAGTTTGGCCCAAACCAACAGAGCACAACAGCACACACTCACAGAACTTCCTTTCTTCTCTTTTCCTGCAGCTATCCAGGTTGAGGTATTTGATGAGATAGCATTTCATCACAGCCTTTGGGGGTTTTTGGTCACCTAGCAGCAGGCCTTCCTCTGTGTGTTTCGTTAATCATCTAATAAACTGCATTCATACAAAAAAAAAGGGTTGCATTAGATTTTTGTTTACTGAATGCCGGCATGCAAGAGAGATTCAGTGTTGAGATTAACAAATAAACAAACATTCCCAACATGTTGGTTAGACAGGAAATGGAAGCTATACTTGAAAATTGACAATTCATATTGATCAGTTATTAGAATTAAGCAGTTATGACGCATAAAAGACGGAGTTGATTAGCAGAATTAACTCTGTCTTTTATGCGTCATAACTAATTTGTAGTTGTATCATAACTAATTTGTAGTTGCTGTGATTGTGACCATCCTCTCTGCTGGGATGACACGGATATCAGTAACCTGATACGGAATTAGGAAACGTCTCCCATATTTACTGTGAAATGTTCATGAATTTTTCAGGTCTTTGTCCTAGTGTCACCATGTGTTTTCTGAAACCACCCTGAAAGGCATGAGTGAAATATCTAAAATGTGCAAAAGGCATGTAAGTAACATCACAGTAGGACATGTTGTGCAGCTCTGAGGGAAGCACATGCTCTGGATGGACCCATTTTCATTTTGTATTCACTCTTCTCACCTCTGCCTGTTACACCGATCTCATGGCTAATTGTTTGTGGCGCGTGTGCAACCAAGTTACCACCTTGACGTAACACGGTCCTTGGGATTGAATGTCCAGGGTAGTCTTACAATTACAGCGGGCTCCTGCACGCTCTATCATTTCTGAGGAACGTTCACTGACTCATGCAGAGGTCAATATCTCACCTGAAGATGCAGGGTTTTACAAAAGATCTAAACATTTAAAATGAAAACAAGACAAATCAGTTCCTAATAACACTTAGTTTTATTTAAAAAATAACATCATAGGAGTGAGCATGTAAAACATTAAGATAAATTGATTGTAAAAGAAAACACGTTTGTTCCTCTTTCACTGCAAACCATGAAGTAAGACACCACAATCTCTTTTTACCACAATAAACTGTTCAAAAATAGTTATTATCTATTGTATCTGCTAGAAGGGGAAATGTCTCTATTATACTTACATGTATTTCTCTTTTCTTAACTGTAATTTGTCCTTGTTTTTATTCTGAGGAGTACTTCACAAGATTTACAGTAGAATTTGGAACATTTTTCTTGAATTGCAAACATTACATCTACAATTTTATAAAAAGTAACAGTAATTTGAAAGTAAGTTTTTATCTTAAAAACACAGTGCACAAAAAAATAAAGCATAAATGTGCTTTTTTGTGTGTTTTTTTTTCTTCTGCAGCTAAAGAACTGTTTCTGAATTGTTTGATTTACTGGGAAAAAAAAGTCAAATGCTTGTTTTTTCTCATCTTCCTTCCCCAACATTGTTCCTGTTGAATTAAAAAAGTGTTGTAGAGATCCAGTCATGTCTCTTCTTGTTTGAACTTCATTTATACATAGTCCTTTCTCTCTAAAACCTGGCCACCTGCAGACCGGGCAGAGTAAGCCATTCGCGAGCTGTTGTATCTGGTCTCCTTTGGCGGACAGGAGCAGCACAAAAGTCCTCCGCCGAGAACCAGGAGCGTGGCTGCCCCCCAGCCGACATACAGCGCTGCCCCCAGCTCTCTCCGTTGAGAATCAATGATCAGCGGGTTGTAGAAGTCCCTGATTATGCTGTGGGCCGACCAGGAGACGGGAATCAGCTGCATCACACCAGAAACGATGAAGAAGACTCCAGAGATGATCATCACTTTGGATTTGGAGGCCTCATCCTCGATGCAGTTGGTGCACTTTGCCCCGGCGATGGCCACAAGCACAGCCAGGATGGCCAACAGGATGGAGATGACGGTGAGGGCGCGCGCTGCTTGGAGGTCCTGAGAGAGAGACAGCATAGAATCGTGGACCTTACATTGCATCTGTCCTGTGCTCTGGACCACGCAGCTCATCCACAGACCCTCCCAGATGATCTGAGCCGTCACAATGTTGCTGCCAATGAAGGCCGTCACTCTCCACATGGGAAGGGCACAGGCTACAATTGCAATGATCCATCCCAGTATGCACAGGGAAATACCAATCAACTCCAGTCCTATAGACATACTGGAAGGTCTTCTTCCTCTGCTGCTGGTTGTAAGTCACACTGGAAGAGAAAATCACAAACTGGCTGTGTAAAGAGTAAGAGAGGCACCCAGCTGGCAGTTAATTTAACGTCAGGTCTTGAACTTGCAAGTGTGTGATGCTGTGTTACCTCAACCTGAAAAATATCCCTTTTATACTACTGGGCAGGTGCAGGGGAGGAGTCTTGGATGGAGCTGACATCACTAAAAAGGGAGGAAGGACACTTTCAAGACTCTCTCCTATCAGCTTACATGCTCAGATCCACAAAGGGCTCTGCCATAAAGAAGCCTTTTACAGCTGAAAGGGCATAAAGCCATGAAATGCCCCCCTAAGGGGGCTTCACAGTTTCCGCATGAGTTAATGAGAAATACCACATAAATATGACAAAAATACCTTTAATTACTTTTTTTAAACAATATTGTGGCATTTCAAAGCAGTCTGCAAAATAAATTAAATCTGTCATTTTTAATTTTGTTTTTAAGCTGCTTTTAGTCTAAACTTTCAGATGCTGCCATCATGTTTGTTATACAAAGGCTGTTTTCCGGCTTTTTTTTTGTGCCAAATTTCAGTGTTTTGTATTGGAAGTTTAAAACATTGACTTACACTCTGAAAGCTGGAGGATAATCTATGATAAAAAAAATGAAAGGACATGAAGAGGATTCATCAGATAAGTGGCTCTGGAGGAGCTGCAGGAATCCACAACACAAATAGGAGAATTTAATATGAACTAAATTATGTGACCTGGCCTTTTTTAAAGTTCCAATAAGAAAGCTCTTGTTAAACAAAAGCCAAAAAAAGTTTCACATAATTATTCAAAATATGTATCAAACAGGTGGAAGCAGGTTGTCTTAACAGGGCAGATCAGATTCAGACTTTTATTGCCTTCATCTAAAAGATAATCTATACCTAGACTAAGACTAACATTTGATTTCTTTCTGAACTTAGAACCGCGATATATGGTGGTGGTAGCATCATGCTTTGTGAAGCAGGTTAGAGTTAATAGTAGGACAATTATGTGTGTGTGTGTATATATATATATATATATATATATATATATATATGTATATTTACGTCCAACCGGCTTGTTTGGTGGGGGTAACATTAAAGGAGACCACACAAGGATTTTCTTTAAAGTAAAAATTTAATTTATTAAATTATACTAAAGAAACAATACCTGAAAAGGGATAAATAAAATGGGGAACAGAAAATGGCTTACTGCAAAACCAATAACTAAACAGAAATAAGCAAATGCAACCAAACCTAACAAAACCCAACCATAGGACAGGATACAAACCAAACCAAGCCAAACAGGGTTCTGAGGAGGTAAGAGAGAGAAGCCTCCTGTCTGCTGCTTGCATGTCAGCTTTTAAAGCAGACGAGCACCAATTAGGGCAAAACAGAACACCTGCAGAAGGCCTGCATCCGGAACCCTGCAAGGAAGAGTGGAGAAACCAACTGCAGCCGTAACAAAAAAAAAAAAAAAAAAAAAAAAAAAAAAAAATATATATATATATATATATATATATATGTCTTTTAGTGCTAATGATATCAATCATTAGCACTAAAAGACATTTGGCGTTCCGTTTACGTATTAAAAGCTAGGTATTTTTTTCCACACAGAAGTTCTTTGTAAATTTCACTCATTGAAATCCAAATAGATTTTAATAACTAAGAAGGGTTGATTTCACAAACAAACTCAAGTAAATTTTACTACCAAATTTCTCTTACAAACAAAAGATGTACTTTTGTTTTGCTAGTTTTACACAGAGAGGTACACAGAAGGAGAATCTAGAGAAATAAATTAACATAACAGTCATGGTTTCGGACTGGGAGGAAGTCAGGGTACCTGGAGAGAACCCACATATGCACGGGGAGAACATGCCAAACACTTGCAGAAAGACCCTGGACCAGGGATACAACCCAGATAATTTTTGCTGCAAGGCAACAGTGCTATAAACTGCTCAACTGTCCAGCCAACAACTAAACAATATTTTCTAATTTGGACCTAAACATGGTCAGGCAAGGAAAAAAATCATGAAGTTTAGTCCTAATATCAAAGTACATATTACCTACATCTGTTAAGTTGCAAACTTATTTAAATTTATTTTTGGTAATAGCATTTGTCTTTTCCTGGATATCCCTCTATCCATCCATCCACATTCTCCTGCTTTTTCCACCAGGGATCATGTGCCCATCTCTATGGGTAAGAGGCGTTGTACAGCCTGGACAGGTCACTAGACTGACACAGAGACTCACAGAGACAAACAACCATGCACACACACATTCAGCTATATAAGGACAATTTAGAGAAGGCAATTAACCTAAGAGTCATGCTTTTAGACTGTGGGAGGAAGCCAGAGTACCTGTACTCCATGTACAGGAGGTGCCTGGTAGTGGCCCCATTTTTTGACTCTGTATCCATAGCCAGTCTTGCAGATTATTTGGCTCAGAGGCTATGGAGGCCTATGGAGAACAGCAGGGGGGACCGAGCATCTCCTTGGTATAATCCACATCAGATGGAGATTTTTGTAAGTGGCTTGAAGTTGGCCTAAAGTGTGGTTTTGCACAGACCTATGGAGATTGCTATTAAGGCTCTAAGAGTGCTGCTGATCTTCTACAGCTTCAGGCATTCCAAGTTTGTTTGTCTGGTTGTACACTGTTCTGTGAAGCAGTAGCTGGTGTTTGGCTCCTCTATGGTGTTGATTCATCTGCCTGCTTATCTATCTATCTATCTATCTATCTATCTATCTATCTATCTATCTATCTATCTATCTATCTATCTATCTATCTATCTATCTATCTATCTATCTATCTATCTATCTATCTATCTATCTATCTATCTATCCATCCATCCATCCATCCATCCATCCATCCATCCATCCATCCATCCATCCATCCATCCATCCATCCATCCATCCATCCATCCATCCATCCATCCATCCATCCATCCATCCATCCATCCAGACTGGTTCCTCTCTTCTCATTGTTAAAGCAGTGGGTGGGCGGATTAGGATTCAGTTTTAATAACAAACTGTTTATTTTTGGTCCCAGATACTCAGTGGCACAATGGCGTAGTATTTGTCTGGTTAATTTTTTGTTTGGTCAGGCAAAGATGAGCATTTGATTCAGCAGGAGCAATAAAATGAAGGAGAAAGGTTCTGTAGATGTTGACCTGATGTTCAGAGGGCTGGTAGCTGCTCGTCTTAGGACAGAGTTAGCCTATTATAAGATGGTGTCAGACTTGCAAGAGTTCATTTGTATATGGTGAGGTAGAGATATTTTATGTTGTGTAAGTGATTAATTGCTTACTCTCAGTTTTTGAAGGTTTGAATTTTTTTTTTTGATTTCATGCTGTTAGGATGAGTGTATGTATATGATTCACTTGTGAGTTTGTATTATAATGACATATCATCTATCTATCTGCCTGCCTGCCCGCCTGTCTGTCTGTCTCTCTGTGTATATATATATATATATATATATATATATATATATATATATATCTATATATATATATATATATATATATATATATATATATATATATATATATATATATATATACATATATATATATATATACATATATATATATATATATATATATACATATATATATATATACATATATATATATATATATATATATATATATATATATATATATATATATATATATATATAATTGTACAGAACATGTACACTAGAATCATTTAGATCAAATCATATTCATGCGTTACAGTGGCCAAGTCAAGGTCCAAATTCAATGGGGAAAGTACAGCAGGCCTATAAATGACTCATGACCTCTGTTATTAGTCAAGCCTGACTGAGCCTATTTGCAAGAAGTGTCATGGCCAAATGTTTGCAGGTGTCATTGCAGCAAAAGTTTGTTCAACAAATTTGGAGTCAGGAAGGCTAAATAAAAAGAAACGTCAAACATATTTTAATATTTTTATTTTTCACCAAAGAAAGACAAGAATCCTTCTATTTTAATTAGACTATTTCACATCATAGATGCAAGTTTCTTGTTGTAACAACAAATAACTGTAAATAAGTTAAAGGTATCCAATTAATGTTGTAAGCAACCTTGATTAAAAGTGACCTTTTTTTAGTTTAGCGGACCTTTGAGTGTTAGGAACAGTCAGAAACAAACATCTGCATCTTAAGTCAGTGGTAAAATTAACCTGCTTTTACCTGATAACAGTCCTAGTCTTAATCAATCAATCTCTCTCCAGAATGGCATTGAATTTCTTTGGACTCTGGACAGTCTCCAGAGAAATGCTTCCCACCACATAACTTGGATCAGCCAACCCCAACCTCCCTCTACTCAATGAAATTGAAAAAAATGGCTGCATTGTTTCAGAGGCTGCTGAGGACTTTGGAGGAACTGAAAACACAGCAGTTATCACAAAGTCAACAGATGGATAAAAATGTGCTTTGACCAGAAACACGGACATGTTTGACTTTCGGTCTGGGCTTTGGACCTTTTTAAAACAGGGACATCTAAATAAAACTTCCCTTTTTTCTATGCTACAATTACTCATTGAAACTCTTACCTTTATTTATTAAAAAAAGCTATTGTTCCCCTTTTATTTTTGATTTGATTCCTCATATTTCATGTTTGTAATGGTAAAAACGGTAGAAACATTCAGCACTGTTTGTCTTTGCAAACACTAGATGTGCAAAGGTTGCTTTGCTTTTAACTGTAACATGTCCTTATTTTTTATTTGTTTTAAAAAATTAGTGGAACAGGATAGGTTACATTTCTGTCATTAGAAATATGTAAAATCTAACCACAGTATTCTGGATTCAAGTCACATTATGATCAAATGTCCTATTTTAACACGTCCCATTAATGCAGTTTCTAAACAATACCAGCATCATATCTAGATAGCTATAAATACTAAAAACTCCAAGTATAAGAAAGAAATCCTCTCACAGTTTGAAATTAATCATATAAGACATTTAACTATCCAACTCCAGGAAGGAAATATAATTTCAGTCATGAGACATAAAATAACATTACCGAGGAGATGTTTTTTTGGTATCCTTTTAATTGTGCTACTTGTTGGGAACCTATGTTAGTTCAAGCATTTCCAACTTGCATTACCCCATTCATCAGGATGGTTTAAAAACACTATTTGATACATTTAAGTAAAAGATGTTTGGTTAAAGTTTTTATACATCGGAAATTTGTTAAATAAAACAGTAAAAAAAATGCATACAATTATTTAGAACCAATTTCAAGTTTTCAAAGTATCAAGCAGAGAGGCTTAAATTCCTCTCTGACTTTTGAGGACATCCGGATATATGTATGGCCCTAGAAAGAGTTTTACACAGCACTTAAAAGTAATAAAGAAATTTGCTTTGACTTTTATCTTAAATGCAAATCAAATACAAAAGGTATATCAATTTAAGAACATTAGAAAGATTTCGGGTTATATTCTAAAACAACTTTATTAAGTTGAACACATTTAAAATTGGAATGAGCTCTTAAAAAACAGACAATTTGCATTTTCTAATGCAAAATAACAAACATTTACAAAATTTCTAAGCTACTGCAAAAGTTATTATTATATAAAAAAAATGCTGTCTATTACTAATTCTAAAGTATAGAGGGGTGGGTAAAGCCCATCTGCAACTTATGATAACACAAATTTACCTAGTCTTAGTTCTCATAATACCACATTTAAAGTACAAAAAAAAGCCTCTTTGATGCAGGACTTTGACTTCTCAGCACAAATGCGGAGAGGATCACGTTTTAAAAATGTAATTTTCTCTTTTGGTTGACTTGGCTGAGTCTCTGTTGCTATTTCAAAGGTTGGTTGCCTTGTGAGAAAGGAGCAGATGTTGCTTCAGACATAGTCTCGTCGATCAAATCCACTCGGGGCCATCGATATAGGCTGGGAGTACATCACCTTTGATGGAGGTCCGTACCTTTTCTCCGGCCTCTTAGGGCAGCTGGAGCAGAGGATGCCACCCCCTAATAGAAGAAAAGCGGCAGCGGCCCACCCCAGGTAAAGAGCGGCGCCAATCTCCCTCTTCTGGGCCTCTGGTATGACTGGACTGTAGAACTCGTGGATGATAGTATGAGCAGACCAGGAAACTGGTATTATCTGGGTAAGTGAGGCCAAAATAAAAGCCCCTCCAGAGGCAATCATCACCCGAGCTTTAGCTGTCTCTTCATCCACACAGTTGGTGCACTTTGCCCCCATCACAGACATCAGGAGTCCCAAAATTCCCAACACAATGGAGATGACAGTTAGGGCACGTGCGGCCTGAAGATCTCCACTCAGTGCCAACATGGAATCATGGATCTTACACTGCATCTGCCCGGTACTTTGCACCACACAGTTCATCCAAATGCCCTCCCAGGTTGTCTGCGCTGTTACGATGTTCACCCCAATAAACGCGGACACTCTCCACATAGGCAAGACACAGGAAACGATGGCAGAGATCCATCCTAGGAGAGGCAGAGTCACTCCTAGTATCTCTAATCCCAATGAAGGCATGTCTGAAGGGTGTGACACACAGATGCTTGTTTAATGCCAGTGTCCAGAGAGGGATTTAGTGAGTATTTGGAAAGTTGAATCCCCATATAAGCAACAGATTTTTTGGTGGAATTGGAGGTGGAGCCTCTCGGTTATTGGCCAGACAAGCATTTAAATTCTCTCCCGTCTCTGTCGTTTGAACTGTCGAAAGCTCGGCCTTGGAATGTAAACAGCTTCAGCTTAATCATTCAACATTCCCAACGCCGGTAGCTCTCCCACCTGGTTGGGTGAGGGGGAGTAAACAAGTGACCTGCATCTCTCAGGACTGGAGTAGTTAAAGCATAACTTAGAAAGTAAAGAGCAGAGGGTGAATGATTGAAAACAATGTGCAGAATATAAGCCTCTGCTGCTGCTGCTGATTCATTTCAGCTCTGTGTGATAGATGCTAAGAATTCAGAAGCACATGCATTTATCTACAGCATTGTTTTTTTTATTAGGAAATTAGAACTTCACTTTTAAAATTTAATTTAGCATAGATCATAACTGCTTAGTGCTTAGTCAGGAGAGATAATACTCAAAACCACCTGTGAGGCCTGCAAAGGAAACCAAACAAAACTCTGGTAAACACTGAAAGTAGGGTTTAGCAACACTGCTGAAAAATAAGTTATAAGATGCCTAGGACACTACAATGACACGTATCTGCCATTCCAAGGACAGGTCTTGCAAATAGAAAATGCCAGTGTGTTCAGTGAGGTGGAAGCTGATGAAACTCGGTGTGCACATAGTGGGGGGATGGTCTTATCACTTTCCCCTCTGCATGTGGACTTTGTGTGTGGACTACTTTCAAAAATGCTCTATAAAGATCAGTGTAGTTTGGGGTATTTCTATAATCAGATAATTAATGTGATGATGAATTAGTGTGAGGTCTCCAATCTTCATGTGTTCTTGTCTTGTGTTCTTGGGTTTTCCCCTAATGGATCAGCAACCAGTATAGAGTGTACCCTATGACCACTAAAGGTTGCAGCTAGCATTCCCACCTCAACCCCCTCATGGATAACCAGGCATATAAAGACCACGGCTTGATGTTTTGAAAAACTATTAGCAAGATATCTTAAAGGCAGAAGATTGCAGGCTTTTCAGAACATCTAAATTATCAAAAGGTTAAATACCAATTCAAGCATTTTTACAATGAGTCGTTATTGATTTTTTCACTAAAGTCTATTTACACAACATCAGTTGATTTGCTACCTTGTGTTTGTGGGTTATATCAGTGTAGATGCTCAAACATGGGCAAAATAGTTGGTACCCCTAGTTAAATGAAATAAAAAAATATATAATTATCACTTTTTTGGTACAAAATTTTGGTACCCATAGAAAACTAAAAATGTTACCAAAGGCAAATATGAAATCAAGGTGTGTCCGCTAATAAGCATAATAGGTGTCTAAACCTTGTAAGTAGTCAGCAGGCCCATATATAGAGCTACATGTAGTCAAAGTTTGGATATATTGGTTTGCCTTGTGGGTCTGTGTGCAAAAGTACACGGGTCCGTGTACGTTTTTTTTTCTTCACAACCAAAACCAAAACGGGATACTACTTCCGTTTTTCCATTTTTGTTTTCTAAATTGAAAAACTGAAAAACGGAAGTAGTATCCAGTTTTGGTTTTCAAGAAAAAATACAAATTGCCCATAGAAGTGCTATACACCATGATTGCATGATTGCACGCACATCCTTGTGCCCAGTTCACTGTGCAAGTATAAACCAAAAATCATTGTACTGTTTGGTGACATGGTGTGTACCACACTCAACATGGACCAGAGGAAGGAGGCTCTGTTTTGTTCTGGGATTGCTGTGCTTAATTTGGTACGGGTTGTCTTGAATCTCTGCAGGGAACAATGGAATCTCAAGGCTATCAAGAGATTCTAGTGAGAAATGTGCTGCCCAGTGTCAGAAAGCTTGGTCTCAGGTGTAGGTCATGGCCTGCAACTAACCCAAAACACACTGCTAAAGATACCCAAGAATGGCCAAGAGGAAAACATTGGACTTTTCTGAACTGGCTTTCTATGAACCCTGACCTTAATCCTACTGAGCATCTTTGGAAGGAGCTGAAACATGCAGTCTGAAAAACGCTCCCTTCAAACACGAGACAATTAAAGCAGTTTGCTTATGAGAAGTGGAGCAAAATACCTGCTGAGAGGAGCAGAAGTCTCATTGACAGTTAGAGGAATCAACTGATTGTAGTGATGCCTCAAAATTTTGTACAACAGAATATTAAGCTAAGTTAAATGTAATTTTTGTTCAGGCCTGTTTCATTAGTTTTTTGTTTTTTTATCCTTTCAATGAAGCATGGTTGAAAAGCAATGTCTGGTTTTCATTTGTTCATTACTTTTGTCAGATTCAAATTTTTTCTGTGACCATTATGTTATTTTCTTCCATGTGTATATAATGGTATGTTATTTACAAGAGATGGTAGAATAATTTGGGTGCTATTTTATACTGCCATATGAAAAAATAAAAAAATATGACCTCTCAATTGACCCACTGACCTGTTTTCCATATCCTCACCTGTGGTCTTTAGATATAGGTCATTAACAAACCAAGATCTCACTCACAAGCGGCTTCCTTTATATTACTTCTAAAGTCAGCCTTGGAGATGGAGGAAACTGTATGTTTTGTTAGGGTGGGCTGAGCTCTAAGTAGAATCATAGAGTAGAGTCAATGAAGCCTGATCAGTCTTTGGGAGAAAAGTAACTTTTTATCACAATTTTCTAGTATTTTACTCAATGATATACCTAAAAAGTAACCCAAATGGATCCCCTAGTAATATATGCTTTGATACTTTTACAAATATTTTTTTTAGTTTCAAAGTGCTTCACACAGCAAAGAAGATGTTTTTCAACTGACTAAGAGAGCTCTAGCTACCGTAATGTAACTACATACTGGAAAAAATCAAAATCTAGATAAGTAATTTTAAAAAAATAAGTGCAGTTCTTCTTCGATTGAGGAGGTAAAAGAGAAATTCTGCCAGTGGAACAAGACAACTTACATTTAAAATAAGAAAACACAATTGCATTGTCTTATTTCAAGTGTATGTTATCAAATTATTTTATTTTAAAAAGTAAAAACACTCCCTTGGCAAACAATCTCATTTAGCTACTCAAATTAAGGGTAAATACACTTAATTTAAGGAATTTTTACTTATTTCTAGATTGTATTTCCAGTCCAAGTGCTTAATCTGAGTCAAATAGGCTGCTATGCAACCATCAATAAACAAAAGCCTTTTCCTAATACACCACCTTGTTTCACATATTAGTTTAGATTCCCTGCCATCATGTCAGTGGAGGAAAACGGTAGACGAAGTGTAGGTTTTTGCCCTAAACTATATCCAGCAAGCCCTTTAACTTTTTTTTGCTTACTTTTACAACTGTTTTAAGGTTTGTCTCGTCACTATCTGTTAAATCTCTTTCTAAATTTCAATGATATTCTAAATTACTGCTACTTCAGGACTCCTCACTCACTAAATGCAAGCTATTAAGAGCTTGTCGTAACTTTAAGCAGCCTTTGGTTTGTGTTCAATTGTCCGTGTATCAGTTATTTTTTAAATTCTTTCCTCACACAAAAAATAATGCTCTAACTGTTCATTAAGTGTCAAGGTTGTACTCTTAAGCTAAACTTCCCACCACTGTTTGTGATGCATTTCTTCTAAACTGGAAAATATTTTTGACTACTTTGTGGGTTTACCTTCACTTCCTATTAATTAGTCATTTTACCTTTGAGATATTTGTGCTTCTCGTACACCAGTGGTTTTGTAATCTCTAGACATCATTGGCTTCAGTGTCATGACTTGCAGGAAGCCAAATACTGCGGTTCTTCCTCTGAAATGAAAAAGTTTCTTCTGTATTATCAGAATTTCTCTAGATATATATTTTAAGTACATGCCTTCATTCTCATGTTCATATTTTTAAAAGCTGAAATATATTTTTAAAGAAAGAACATTACAGACATGTATGTTAAAGATAAATTCTATAAGATTGTCTCCATGTAGTTTGATGTTCCTCTGATTACAGTTGCACAAATTATTCAGAAATTTCAGATCAGTGGGACTGTAGCTAACCTCCCTGAACATAACTGCAGCAGGAAAACTGATAACAAACTAAAGAGATGGAGAATATGAATGATAACAAAACTGCCCAGAAAACATCCCAAATTAATTAAAGGTAAACTTCAAGCTGAAGGAACATTAGGGTCATCTATAACTGTTTGAGCTAAAGTGGACTAAATTGAAGAAATTCAAGAAGGACACTATTGCTAAAAACAAATCATAAACAATTTGCCAAACTTGATGTTAAATAAAGACAAGCATATTAAGAAGAGAACACTGCCCTTACTGTGAAAAATAGAGGAGGCTCTGTTATGCTCTTGGATTGCTTTGCTTCATTTGGTAAGGGTTGTCTTGAATCTCTGCAGGGAACAATGGAATCTCAAGGCTATTAAGAGATTCTAGAGAGAAATGTGCTGCCCAATGTCAGAAAGCTTGGTCTCAGGTGTAGGTCATGGCCTGCAACTAACCCACACTGCAAAAAATTGAAATCTAAATAAGTAATTTTTGCTCAAATTAAGTGCATTTTTTCTTGAATTGAGGAGGTAGGTGAGATACTTTGCCAATGGAACAAGACAATTTACATTTTAAAATAAGAAAAAAAAAACTGGTTTGTCTTATTTACCTGCTCAAATTAAGGGTAAGTACACTTAATTTGAGCCTTTTTTTTTTTTTTTACTTATTTCTAGATGTTTTTTGCAGTGCAAAACACACTGCTAAAGATACCCAAGAATGGCCAAGAGGAAAAAATTGGACAATTCTGAAGTGGCCCTCTATGACTTCCTTCACACCTGAGATAACTGAAGCAGTCTGCTCATGACAAGTGGAGGAAAATACCTGCTTAAAAGAGCAGAAGTCTCATTGACAGAGGAATCAACTGATTGTAGTGATGCCTCAAAAAATTTTACAACAAAATATTAAGCTAAGTTTAACGTAATTTTTGTTCAGGCCTGTTTCATTAGTTTTTTGTTTTTTTATCCTTCCAATGAAGCATGGTTGAAAAGCAATGTCTGGTTTTCATTTTTTCATTACTTTTGTCAGATTCAAGTTTTACTGTGACCATTGTGTTTTTTTCTTCCATTAAAACGAGGTGTACCAACAATTTTGTCCATGTTTATATAATGGTATGTTATTTATAAGAGATGGTAGAATAACTTGGGTGCTATTTTAGACTGCCATTAAGAAAAAAATCAAAAGATTAGACCTCTCAATTGACCCACTGACCTGTTTTCCATATCCTCACCTGTGGTCTTTAGATATAGGTCATTAACAAACCAAGATCTCACTCACAAGCGGCTTCCTTTATATTACTTCTAAAGTCAGCCTTGGAGATGGAGGAAACTGTATGTTTTGTTAGGGTGGGCTGAGCTCTAAGTAGAATCATAGAATAGAGTCAATGAAGCCTGATCAGTCTTTGGGACAAAAGTTATTTTTTATCACAATTTTCTAGTATTTTACTCAATGATATACCTAAAAAGTAACACAAATGGATCCCCTAGGAATATATGCTTTGATATTTTTACAAATATTTTTTAGCTTTAAAGTGCTTCACACAGCAAAGAAGATGTTTATCATCTGAATGAGAGAGCTCTAGCTACCGTAACATAGCTACACACTGGAAAAAATCAAAATCTAGATAAGTACTTTTTTCTTAAAACAATTGCAGTTGTTCTTCGATTGAGGAGGTAAAAGAGAAATTTTGCCAGTGGAACAAGACAATTTACATTTAAAATAAGAAAGCACAATTGCATTGTCTTATTTCAAGTGTATGTTATCTAATGATCTTATTTTAAAAGTAAAAATACTCCATTGGCAAACAGTCTTATTTACCTACTTAAATTAAGGTAAATACACTTAATTTAAGGAAATTTCTCTTATTTCTAGATCGTTTTTCCAGTGCAAGCGCTACCAACAAAGTCAGAGCCAAAAAGGCTGCTATGCAACGATTAATAAACAAAAGCCTTTACCTACTATACCACCTTGTCTCACATATTAGTTTAGATCCCCTGCTACTCTTAGCTAAACTTCAAACCACTGTTTTCGATGCATTTCTTCTAAAATGGAAAATATTTTGACTGTTTTGTGGGTTTACCTTCATTTCCTACTAATGAGTTGCATTTTATCTTTGAGATATTTGTGCTTCTCGTACACCAGTGGTTTTGTAATCTCTAGACATCATTGGCTTCAGTGTCATGACTTGCAGGAAGCCAAATACTGCGGTTCTTCCTCTGAAACGAAAAAGTTTCTTCTGTATTATCAGAATTTCTCTAGATATATATTTTAAGTACATGCCTTCATTCTCATGTTCATATTTTTAAAAGCTGAAATAAATTTTGAATTTACACATAGTTTGGGTCTTGTAAGCCTCCTTTGAAGGTTGAAGTAAACAGTATCCAACTGATCAATAGACTCTTTGTCAGTTAGTTGGGCTCAGTTACAGCCCAAATTACACCCCCCCCTCTGAACAGATGGAGACCTCTATTTCTTATTGAGTTTCACTTCACAAATGGAGGACAGGTCACAGAGGACGGAAAGCGCTCTTCAGAAACAAGTCCCCCATTGTTTCTTACCTGCACTTAGGCTGAAATGAAACTCCTCATTATCGCATACAGAGGATCTGCTCTTATTGGTCAGACACTGCTGACCAGTAGACCTGGCATGTATCCAAGCTTTGCATACCGATGACACTTTGTAGGATGAGAGACTCGTAGTTCTAAAGCAGAAATCCATTTTTCTCACAAGTTATTCTTTAAAAGGGTTTTTTATTCATTTATTTTTATTTTTTATTTATTCTAAAAAACACTGCATAAATCTCAGTAATATAATACACAGATGCTTTACGATGTTTTTTTTTCTTTCATTTTTATAGAAAATCATGCAAACAGTCAGAATACGAAAAGGAGAATATTTTTCTACCACATGGTTTGTCTCGCTGTTATCTACAAAATTCCAACATTTTCAGTCCTGATAGATATTCAAACGTAGTCTCTCCTGGAGTACCCATTGATGGAAATGTTTTTGACTGCTGAGTAATCCACCCTGGAAGGTGCAGAGTCGTCGCCACCTGGAGATGTAGCTAATTTAGAAGGGCAAGAGCAACAAAGCAGGGCCCCCCCTAGAATTAGCAAAACGGAGGCGGCCCAACCAAAGTATAGAGCATTCCCAAATTCCCTCTTCCCTGTCTCCTCCAACAGCGGGTTGTAAAAGCCCACCACAATGGCGTGGGCCGTCCATGAAACGGCCACCAGCATCAGTAGTCCGGCAACGATGAAAGTCCCTCCAGCAGCCACCACAAGGCGGGGTTTGCTGCCCACATCCCGGCTACAGTTGGTGCACTTGGCACCAGCCACTGACAGGCCGATTCCCACAATGGACAGAACCATGGAGATGATGACCAAGGCTCGAGCCGCCTGCAGGTCCCCTGGAAGCCCCAGCATGGATTCATGCACCCTGCAGTGCATCTGGCCCGTGCTCTGCACCGAACAGTTCATCCATAATCCCTCCCAGATCACCTGGGAGATGACAATATTCTGTCCGATAAAAGCTGCCACCCTCCACATGGGCAGCCCGCAGGCCACCATCACCCCCAGCCAGCCAGCCACAGTCAGGATCATCCCAAGAATCTCCAAGCCGGCGGAGTACATTGTAGGAGCTGGAGACGAAGATAAAAGCAACTCCAAGGGATCTATGGGATAGAAGGCCTTCTGTGTCCGCAGGCCCGAGATGAAGGCGATATTAGATCTCTGAGGCTGAAAGTCCTGTCCAAGACTTTCAGTAAGGAGGGAGAAACAGATTCCTTATACAGCTTAGACGATTGAAGGTGGAGTCAGCTTAAGGTGGCATCGGCCTTACTTTAAAACTATATCTTCAGGTGCAAAAGATTGGGTTACTGTTTGCTTGTTTGCTTTGGGCATTTTCATTTAAAGGTGGATATAGAAAACTTTTCAATAAGCAACTGAAGAAGAATTCTTTTTTGTTTTTCCCCATAAATCTAAATTACAGCTCAGTATGAAAGTGGACATAAGGATTTTACATAGTTATAAAACTGTTCAATCATGATTTATCTCCAAAGTTTAAAATTGTTGAGACACAGTATTGAACAGTATTCAGACCATATATGGCCTATATGGAAAGTGTTGTAATATCATATAAATAAAACCCTTCTGCATTAAAAAAGAAAGAAAAAATGTTCTTTTTCCAGCTGTTTATAGGGGAAAACCTTGAGGTAATATGAAAAACAAAGTTTCCTCTGATTTCTTTTTTATGTTTTCAAGCTTTTGCACACAAACATCTGAAAATTATTCAATTCCACAATAAAAAAAACACCTTTGGCTGGAATAGGCAAAGTTAAAATACACTATATTGCCAAAAGTATTTGCTCACCTGCCTTGACTCACATATGAGCTTAAGTGACATCCCGTTCCTAATCCATAGGGTTCAATATGACGTCGGTCCACCCTTTGCAGCTAGAACAGCTTCAACTCTTCTGGGAAGGCTGTCCACAAGGTTTAGGAGTGTGTTTATGGGAATTTTTGACCATTCTTCCAGAAGCGCATTTGTGAGGTCGCACACTGATGTTGGACGAGAAGGCCTGGCTCTCAGTCTCCGCTCTAATTCATCCCAAAGGTGTTCTATCGGGTTGAGGTCAGGACTCTGTGCAGGCCAGTCAAGTTCATCCACACCAGACTCTGTCATCCATGTCTTTATGGACCTTGCTTTGTGCACTGGTGCACAGTCATGTTGGAAGAGGAAGGGGCCAGCTCCAAACTGTTCCCACAAAGTTGGGAGCATGGAATTGTCCAAAATGTCTTGGTATGCTGAAGCATTCAGAGTTCCTTTCACTGGAACTAAGGGGCCAAGCCCAGCTCCTGAAAAACAACCCCACACCATAATCCCCCCTCCACCAAACTTTACACTTGGCACAATGCAGTCAGACAAGTACCGTTCTCCTGGCAACCGCCAAACCCAGACCCGTCCATCAGATTGCCAGATGGAGAAGCGCGATTCGTCACTCCAGAGAACGCGTCTCCACTGCTCTAGAGTCCAGTGGCGGCGTGCTTTACACCACCGCATCCGACGCTTTGCATTGCACTTGGTGATGTATGGCTTGGATGCAGCTGCTCGACCATGGAAACCCATTCCATGAAGCTCTCTGCGCACTGTTCTTGAGCTAATCTGAAGGCCACATGAAGTTTGGAGGTCTGTAGTGATTGACTCTGCAGAAAGTTGGCGACCTCTTCGCACTATGCGCGTCAGCATCCGCTGACCCCGCTCCGTCAGTTTACGTGGCCTACCACTTCGTGGCTGAGTTGCTGTCGTTCCCAAACACTTCCATTTTCTTATAATACAGCTGACAGTTGACTGTGGAATATTTAGGAGCGAGGAAATTTCACGACTGGATTTGTTGCACAGGTGGCATCCTATCACAGTTCCACGCTGGAATTCACTGAGCTCCTGAGAGCGACCCATTCTTTCACAAATGTTTGTAAAAACAGTCTGCATGCCTAGGTGCTTGAATTTATACACCTGTGGCCATGAAAGTGATTGGAACACCTGATTCCAATAATTTGGATGGGTGAGCAAATACTTTTGGCAATATAGTGTATGTATGTGTGACTGAAAGAGTCTGGTATTTCCATCATTATCCATTTCAGTATATCTGTTTGTACCATTTTCCAATAAAGTGATCAAAGAAACCCCAAACCTTTGGAAATATTATTTATATTATTTTACCTTGTATTTAACTGAGTCTAAAAGGTTTCTCAAACAAGTTAGGAACTTTCTGTCATTAAAGATTCTCAACTAATTAACAAAGGTCATCTGGGGTCAGTGGTCAGGTCAGGCTGAGCATCTTTGCTTTCATTGTGTTTTACCCTTGAATACACAGACACACATACCATGCTCTCAACCCCCAACACACACACACACACAGCATATTTCTACATTGCTTTATTGTCTACTTAGTAACTTTAAAAGCAACACTTATGAAGGAAAGTAAAAAAAATGTGAGTTTAAAAAACCCATTTAAACAGTTATTCTTTTGTGTTCCATTGTGAATAAAGGTGCATAATACATGGTTTGACAGGTAGGGGGAGCCAGCTTTGCTGTGAATGCTGGCTTCTCTTCTTTCTCAGAGCTGCATTTTATTAGGACAGAACAAAGTAGAATCTATTTTATTTCATTCATTTATTTATTTAATAAGAACCATCTGGAGTTACCCTTATAGGCTTCTAAGTAGATACTCCAGATATGCCCTGATAAACTGCCAGTTACTTTGTTATGTAAATAAAAAAAATGAACAATTATAAAAAAGTTCTCTCCTCCTTTATATGATATCTATAATGCATTATTGAATTAATCTCAGTGTATTTATGTAACCCTAACTCACAACAGAAGTAATCTTAAGGTACTTTACAAAGTCCAAATTTAATCAGATCATACAGACAGAATAATTAATAATCTTTACTTTTTTTTTTTTATCCAGAGTAACTTTGGCAAATTGCTCTGAGTCATTGACAGGAGGAAAGCACAAACAGAACCAACTAATTGTTCGTGACCATCTGTCAGGACCGACTGGGGGTTTTAGAAAATAAAGCATACAGTATATCCAGGAGGACTTTGAAAAAAAAAAAAAAACAAATGATAGAAATAGCTCTTTTAACTTCTTCATGTAGGGAAGAAATACAGCTGAGCAGAGAAGCTCTTCCTGCAGGTCTTTGGATAAGGAAGGGGCTCTTAACTGCAATATTGAAACGCTAAAATTTAAAAAACAGATTTCTTAGAGAGGATGTAAAAATGAAACAAGCCACAATATTTTGTAAATAATTGTGCAGGCCTATATTTTCTTTGATTGTCGTTTAATTCTAGTTCAATTTTCAGCCCTTTTACTTTACCTTCGCAATGATAAATGGAGCCTAGGTGGAAGTTCAACTAAATAAACTGACTAGTCGCCTTCATCCGCCTACGACACAGCCAATCAGCTTGAATCAAACCTCCTCGAAAGCCAATCAGCATCCAAAATTTATTTTAAAAGGCCTCCGACCTGCAACTCGTCTGCTACCTAGTATGCAGGCGGTGGTTGCGCTGTCTGACTTCATTCAAATGACCCTGTTTCAATCCACCTCCAACCCCAGTGTCATTCCTCCCGGACTCTTACTGCTTTCCGCGTCTCATTTCAACCGGACCAGCAAAAGACCACCATGTTGAGCCTGGTTCTGCCAGAGGTTTCTTCCCAATGTGGAGTTTTTCCTTTCCACTGTCGCCTCATGCTTGCTCATCATGGACAGGTTCTCTCAACCTGTGTTATCCAACTGGACTTCCATCTTCCAGGTCCCTGAAGCTCTAGTATCAGCTCACGCAGTCCACTGGATCTCCCCATAAAGCTCAGCATACCGATTTGCCAGCCAGCAGTCTACAGACTGACCAACTTCATCTATCTCCACTCCACCACCAGTTTCAGGCCTGGGGGGGGGGGGACACAGCCCTGTTCTTTACTCCTTTTCATGCATATCAATCAAAAAAATCAGCGCTATGTTTCCTGCCGAGGTCTGAGCCCCAAAGACTAAATAATTGTATCAATAAATTTCTTCTAATTGTGTTTTCTCTCAATGTGAGTTTTTCCGATTGAAATGACCTATGAATGCATTTCAGCCCTGCTAGCAGGATTTTCATGGCTTCTGCACATTTGCATGTTGTTCTTTAACAACAGGCAAATAATAATAATGATAATAATATAAATAAATAATATAATTCATACTTTTTCGCATTATAGACAGTTATCAATACTATAGAAAATAAAGGACAATGGTAATTAGAGGCTGATATAAACAGTAAAGGAGTTAACTACATTTCCGGTTGTATGGAAGTAAATATGTGCCATCAGAATTTGAATAAAAAATACTTCTGAAATTTGAATGTTGTATATTAGTGCTTACTTTTTCAGTATTAAAATAAATTCAGAATATATTTTTTACCTAAAAAAAATTCAATGTCATTATCTGTACATTAAAAAAAAAATTCAGTGTAATTTTTTTTACATGGTTGCAATTTTCAGTTATTAAAAAAATTCACATTCCTATTTCAAAGTGATAAAATTTTCAATATACATATTTTTCACAGTTTAAATTTTCAGTGTTAAAAAATTCAGCATATAAAAAATTCAACTTTTCAAAATTCAAATGCAATATTTTCATTGTCCTCCAATTCAACTTGCTCAAATTCACTGTCTCAAATTCAGCGTCTAAAAATTCGCTGTAAAAATGGCCAAGGTTACTTCAGGTCACAGACATTAGCAATGGATGTCCGATTCCAACATCCACCTAATCACGTGACACAACCGTCATATTGAAGAAGTACCAGTATCACCCAGGCTGGCGACCATGGAGGCGAACTCAAACCCAACGGTGAGTTTAATGCTTTCATATTTCAGTAGTATATTTTATTTTGCGCATGAAGTTTGATACATTATCTGAAAGCCTGATTTAAAACACTGGTTTGGGCCGTTGTTAATCTTACACCGTGTAGTGCCGGCATATTACTTCTCGCTACCTCCGAGCACCCCCCCCCCTCCCCCCCACCCAATTTCCCCCGTTTTATTTCAAAAAGAAATACCACTTTTCCAGGCAGTCTTAGTAAAGTCGTAATTTTTCAGGAGATGCTACCGCTAATGTA